ACAATCTCAGATAAATTTTTCTTATTTAAAGTGAGAAGACAAAACATAGGTGATTCAAGAATAAAGTAATTCAATGTACTTTTTTAAAAAAATAAGCAATTGAAGATTTTTTATCTATCTCTCAAAGAGTGAAAATACCTCTGTTTTTAAACACTATAGTTCAGTTTATCTGTTCCACAGTATTAGAGTTGGAGGCTCAGTAACAAAAGAAAACCAAACATCTAACTGCAGGACCCCAGGGTGTTTTCACAGTGAAGTGAAAGGTCTGAGCAGTCACTAAGTCTTAAGTGATATTTTGCCAAAATGTATTTTGATGCCAAAAAGATAATTAAGGTCTAGTTTGTTGTTTTTTTGCTACTGGGTTAAAAATGTACATCAAAATCTAATATATTTAAATGTTCAATTGATAAGGTATAATGTAGAAACCCTAGGAATTCTGCAAGTATGAAATTGGGGATTTAAAAGTAATAGAAATGTGTGAAAATAATAGGTAGAAGGCTCTTATTGTAATCTGCTTATTTTGACATAAAAGCAGTTTATTCAATTTCAGTTATATTAACTCATTGTTCGATGTTTTTATTTCTGTGAATATTTTAACAAAATCAACACATGTGCTTTAAGTTGGTTGAAAATCTTAATCTAGAGATTATATATATTTTATGTATATTTTCACGTATAGGAGAAATATGTTTATATTTTTTTCAAAGACTTTAATCATTCACCTATTTTCTTAAATGAATAGAACTCTAAAACATTTATTTATAAAGTTACCATAAGTGCTTTATATGTTGCTCAATTTAAATTGTCATGTGTCCCACCTTAAAGATGATGGGACTTAACAAGTTTGAGCTATTGAAAGCTATTCTAAAACCACTGATGCAAAATTACTCAAGAAAATTACGTGAGATGAATAAAGCTAGTGTCCCAGATGGTACTTTATAATAGTACTGAGGATTGAACCCTGGGGAATTTACCCATGAGCCATCTTCCCAGCGCTTTTTTTATTTTTTATTTTCAGACAGAGTCTTGCTAAGTTGCTTAGGGCCTCGCTAAATAGCTGAAGATGGCTTTGAACTTGTGATCTTCCTGCTTCAGCCTTCCAAGTTGCTGGGATTATAGGCATGTGCTATTGTGCTGGCTGTACTAACTTCTAGTTCAGCTAGTAGTATTAATTCAAGCACAACTAGAGCCTTTTATCAAAAATTAATCACAAATACATCCAACATTTGAAAAATATTGTAAATTTCTTTAAAAAAATTTTTCCCCCTGGAGATGGTGGACTGACTGAATGGTCCATTGAATTTAGAGAGCCAAAAATACAATTTGTTTGATTAAATTTGATACAAAGAAAGTCACAGTAGACCTAACTTTGTAGTTTCATTATATTTCTATTGCCTTAAATGGCCCAGTGGTGTTATTTACACAAATTCTTCCATTTTCTTATGTCATTTCATGAAAGGAAAAAATATCTTAAACTACACTTTCAAATATTTATTCTTGTCAAAAGATCAACATACAACTTTAAACATCTTAATTGACTTTATTTAAGATTCTAGAATTGGACAGGCCCTCAGAACTAGAGCAGGTTCAAAGATTTCCAGGGTTGTAAAGTAGTCAGACAACATTTATGGACAGAAAACAGAAGTGACATAAATGACAGCTTAATTGGTTACATTTCAGTGTTTTGCCTAGTTTTGAAAAAGCTGGCTGCCAGTGACTGTGCAGCTCAGCAGCTGTGGTGGACTAAGCCTCAGCTACCTGCAATAGGTTAGGTTGCACATCACACATCACTCAAGGATTCAAGGAGATAGCCTCAGGGCTAAACTTAATTTAATATTCTGATGCTCACTTTTTGAAATGTTTGAATGGGTATATGGCTAACTGCAATTTTATACAGAAACACATTTATAAGAATTAATTAGTTCATGGCATAAAAATAAGTTAAAAAACATTTACAGAAGATGAAACGCTTCTCTATCCATTAACATATGGTTGTTGTCCATTAATATATGTTGAAAGAATATCATGTGGGCTATTTCTGTTATGTTTTTGCAAATTGATACAAATTAAAGTGTCAGGGAATTGATTACTGACAGCATGCCACATAATGTAAAGTGTGCTTGTCCTTCTAAAAATTTAATAATATATCCTCTTATCTTCATTTGGATTAATTTCATCATCTTCTGAGAGAAGGGCTACTTTTTCAAAAGCAATTGGCTGACTAAGTTTATTTAGCATTTCACCTTTTATTTTTAAAATTTTATTAAAACAATTTTTATTGCTGTAGTAATTGTACATCTTTATGGGTAAAAGTCTGATATTTTGGTACATGTACGTTGTATACTGATCAACCCAGGATAGTTAGTTTATCCATCATACACATACATACACACACACACACACACACCCCAGGGATTAAAACCAGGGCTACTTAACCACTGAACCACATCCCCAGCCCCCCCCCCCCCCCCCCCTTTTTTTTTGAGACAGGGACTCACTGAGTTGCTTAGGGTTCACTAATTTGCTGAGGCTGACTTTGATCCTCCTGTCTTAGCCTCCTGAGCCATTTGCATTACGGGTGTGCCCCACTGGGCCAGGCTTCAAACATTTATTTTTTTCTTTGTGTTCAGGACATGTAAAATTCTCTTTGGTTATTTTTAAATGTACAATACAACCTTGTTAACTGTAATCACCCAACTGTATAATAGGACATCAGAACTTATTTCTCCTATCTGGCTGTGAGCTCATATTCCTTGACTAATCTCTTCCCATCTCCCCCCTTGCTTCCCTCCCCAGTTTCTGGTAACCACTATTTGAAAAATGGTTGATTCTCTAAAATTATTTAATGGTTGGTTCTCTAAAATTATTTTCTATGTTATCTTAATTTATGAAAGAATTTTAAAATACAGATGTATTGTTGAAACTCAGGGTTATGTACAAATTTCTGACAAAATTTGGATTAGTTCTTCTGTTTGAATAAGAGTAAAACCAAGAAATACTAGAAGTCATTTTGCCTAAAACAATGAGGAATTAAATTACATATAATAAAAAATTATGTTCAGAATTGTTTTTAAAGTTTTTTTTGGGGGGAGGAGGGAAAGTTATGGGAAAATTAAGAGTGCATTACTTTCTCACAACAGAATAGGTTTGTTCTAATTTATGAGCTGTGTACCTGAGAGGCAGTTAAAGGGACAAGAGACTATTACCATTCTCATTTTTCCTATATAGTCTTGATAGAAACAAAACCTTTTAGAATTCAGCAAAAAGAATAGGCAAGGTAGGCACTCAAATTTTTACATTTCTTCAGGAAAAAAAAAAAAAAAAAAAAAGAAAGTCCAGTTCCCTTAGCAGGAGCTCCTTTAAGGCTTATTCAGAGTTTATCCAAAGCACACGAGTGTGCTGATTTTCTTCTTAGAAACCAGCTAAGCCTCTGAAACGGGTCAGTGTGCTTTGGGCACTCAATTGCCTCCTCCAGACTGCATCTTTTAAGCACAGGTGCTAAGTGGAGGGTCTTTCTGAGCCTTACTCGCCCTCTGACAGGAACTTGGCAATGCAGGCAGTTCTTAGAATTGGCTGTTCTGTGGGATCATCATGAGTTATTTACAAAGCTTCAGTTGTTCAGGTCAAACAACTCAAACTCTCAATACAGGGTCGGGAGTGGGAGGGAAAGAGAAGGGGAGTTGGAGCTCAAGTGACTGCATTGCTTAAGAAAGTAGGGGAGAAAGTTTTTCTTGGATTCTATAAATACTACTTAAAAATGTTCACATGTCTTGAATAGCTGCAAGCTTAATAATTTTTTTTTTGGAATCCTTCAGGAATAAACCTCAGTGATATATATAAGCTTATAACTAATATTTCCTAGAAAAACAAATATACAATTGTATATACCTTTCTTCAGTGAAGTGTTTTTGTATTTAGTTGGTGCTTTTTCTTCTATAAAGGGATAATAGGAGGTAAATACTTTGTCAACTTCTCTTATAATGTTCTGGATTCAAGTCTTGAAAAAGCAACACACTTTTTACCATTATTATTATTATTATTTTTACAAATGCTAGCATATAGTTGAGGAATAAGACATCTAGTTCAGTGCCTTTAAGTATTAAGGAGGAACCTCTGAAACAATTTTGGTTTTGATGTTTTATAATTGAGTACTAAAATTATACTTAGAAATCAGCCTCCCAATTGCTAAGTTTACTATTACAAATCAAATCACATAATGATGCAGTAAAACAAAGTCATCAACTCCAAATCATGTTGCCTAGCCATTGTAGATAAATGAGTATGCATTTGTAAAACCACTAGAGGGCATACAGTCACTGCATTTTTGCTGAAGACTTCCACAAACCTTTATCATGATATGCAGGATTGGGGGAAAGCAAATATTATCTATTATCGGACAATATTTTCCTATCACTTAATGCAATGGCAAAGCTCAGTTTTATCTTTTCCTGCCTCCTTTAAAGCAAATAAAAATATTTATTGAAAGCTTGATTAAAGGATTCTTCCTTTGCAAAGGAGAGTTAAAGATCATCTTTACCATAGTAGATAATGTATTTACTTATAACATCTAGTAGAAAAATTGACCACACACAGTATTTACTTTAATTTTTTATATCAGTGCTTTGCCAGTTTGTGTTGCTGTTTTTCATGAAGCTGATTCTCTAAAGGATAAAAGGCCTACATTTTAAAATTTTGTAATATTTTCATAGCTGTAATCTTCAAAATTATTATTTCTTTAAAAGAAAGCCAAGAAGGAGCTCATGATGATTCACTGAGGGTACTTCTATTATTAAGAGTTAAAAACTGAGTAGAAATAGTGATCCTAAGTTCACGAGACCTAAGAACCAAAATGGACTTTGGTGATCAAGGACTATGATTTGGTCCCAGGGAAAAATCATGCAAAACTCACACTCTAAAATTCGATGGTTGGGAGAAGATATTATTTGAGACAAATTGGGCAAAGGTTGCCATTACAAGAATAATAAGATAATAGGACTTACCTGTTCTAATATATTTTGAAGTCTCTCTATCTCACAGTCTATCACAAATTTCTTCTCTTGTCTTCTGTCAAGTTCTTCTAGAAGTTGTCTGTAGCTGACGTCATTAAAATTTTCCACACATATAGCGCTGACATGCCAACCATTTTGTCCTGCTTTTTCCATTATAGCTTGAAGTATTGAGTATCCTATTGGGCAGGAAAAAGAGTTACTAAAAACCTGTTTATACTCTTTTTTAATGACATATGCAGGCAGTGAGTCTCCATCAATATTTTTAAGCTCCAAAATATACACTGATTGCTTAGAAACTTAAAAATCTGAGTGGCTGTTTCAGAATCATTTGATCTTACTTTCTGTATTCAGGGCAAAAAAAAATCTTGTAAGCTATTGATTGAATGAAGTAGCAACACCATTTCTTGTAAAAGCTCACAAAACTGCTCTATTGGAGAATATTCCATTGGTCTAGACACATTTTCGATGAGAAAACTAAAAACCAAGTCTACCATCACTTGTAGTCAATATCAATTTCATAAATGCTTTTTGTTTTTTTGCTCACTAGACAGAATTCATTTTGAAGAAATGTTTTGACTTCCCATTGGAGCAAAGTAGTAACAGCTTCGGTTCCACCATGGCAGAGAAGACGTAAAAGAAACAGTACAATGGTATTCATAGGAGAGCCATTACCAGCAGAGCCTCGTTTGATGATATGGACAGATTTATACTGCAAAGGCTTTATGTATTAAGCTTGTCCTCTCTTTACAGGAGTGATGTAGATTGGGAGTGAGTTGAATAATCACTTGGTAAGGGACTGGGTACTCATAAGACAACAGAAGAGACAGGCATTCAAATAAACAAATGCAACTTAGTTTTTAAAAGTGCAGTGATAGAGTACTCAGGATAAAGTGTTGACCAAAGGGAAGGCTAGGCTATGTCTGCCTGGGCTAGGTTATGTCTGCCTGGGACAAAAACAAACAAACAAACAAATAAACAAATAAACAAATAAAAACCCACAAAGGAGAAACCACTTGCATTGGTTTTGAGGGCTGAAAAGTGCTGGAGGTGAAGGTATTTTTTATGTGAAGACAGGAAGGTAGAACCACCACACAGATCTACCTGTGGGGAAGGAAAAACACCTGGTACAAGCATCTGGTTAAGGGAGGAATTATAAATTTATAATCATAGTACTGGAGTTATATCTTCATACTGCTTTCTCTAGCTCTCAGTTTTGAATTGTAATTTTAGTGAAGAGAAAAGATCCTTCAAACCTATAAATACCCTTAAACATGGATTGGTTAGGATCACAGACTTTAGTAATTTTTTCACTTTACAGCTTAGCATAAACAAAACATTCTAATCCTCTTTAAGAAAATCCAACACTTATTTGAGCTCATGCTATATCACTTGCCTATAATTTCTCCCTCCCTAAATTCTGGAGTTAGGATAGGGAGCTGGTGGTGGTAAAAGTGAAATGAATACACAGTGCTTGCAGGATAAGAGCACATTTTTTTTTTTTTTTGGCTTTCTGATTATATGTGAGTCAGATTCAGAGACTTTGATTTTGAGTTATGTTTTCCACATGTCAGAGTTTCAAACATTACGATGCTCAGGTAATATCAACAGATGGAACTGATGATGAGATCATATTTGAAATATAAATTACCTGATATCCTGCCAAATGAAATACTGCAGCAGTCAGGATTCATTTTTAGCTAAATGAAAAAAAAATCCCCAAAGAAGATAAAAGGGGGCATATTAATTACTCTGTTATTATTATGGTGTATCTGTTGCTTTGCTTAGTCTTTCCTTTTGTAATGCAGGCCAGTAATTACCTTTTGAAATCTTCCCTAGCCCTCCCCACCTCTGTACCTTCCTGGAAACTTGGGACTCTTTATCAAAATTCCTATTCAATACATATGTAACATGATGGTATGCAGCCTTTCTTAATGCACATTTTCAGACCTCATTTCTTCTGTTGCTGGGAATTGCTCTCTGATGGAAATGAAGGCAACATTTCTTCTTTCTACTAACATTTTGACACCTATGAATGTGTTCTTTGACTTCAAAGTAATACTTTAAAAAAATGCCTATTGACATTTTCCCCCTTTTCTCCTTTGACTTATTGTCATACAAAAATAATTCTAAGATTTTTTTGTTTGCTTGATTGTTTTAGAAATGATAAAGATGGGCCACACACAGAGAAATAGTTTTTCTACTCCCTGTGATCAATCCACATCTTAGCTTAGTTCTCCAGACATTGCTGCTATTTTTCGGCCTCGTGTGGCTGTCAGGACTCATGTCGGTACTAGGCATCCTTGTTGTTATTCTACTGCTGATGTGACTTGTACAGGATGCAGAGACACACACCTTCTGAACAAAATTTACATGTTTCTACACAGAATAATGAAAAGATTTACAATAATAAATCCATAATTCAAGTTTAGCATTTTATTATCTAATTGATTGGATTTAGAAATGATGCTAGACTTGAAATAAGAAAAAAACCCTCGGACACAATCTTTGTTAAATGTCAAAGAAAGTTGGCCACCTAAAAAGCCCCATTAATCAAAGTCAGAAATGAATGGCATCTTTTCAATGTGGTGCAAAGGACACACAGGTACAGTTTCAGAGCCCTAGCTGAAAACTTACATTCTTTTATAAGCTATGTTTGATTTTAACATGCTCTCATATTATTCATTGCTGCTCAGATGTGTGTGTGTGTGTGTCTTATTTATTTGCCAAGATAGCTGGGAATAAATTGTAACTAGGAGAAAATACTGCTGTTGAATCTATGATTATGTAACTTAGTTGTTATATAAACTAGAAAGTCACATGTCAGGTCATACTATTTCTACATCTGGCTATAATTTATACCTTCTAGCTATTAAAAATGTGTAATATAATATATTGTGGTCAAAATATGAAGGCTGCAGATTTAGGTGAATTTCAAATGGTTGAAAGGAGATTTTCTACTGTAAAGAATATTTTAAATCTTGCTTCTCCTTAAAAAGCTGTTTTAACACTTTCATGTGTACTATTTACTGAAGACCTAAACCATCCACAATTTTATAAGGTATATCTAGATAAACAAAGATGTGATTCTTGTCTAGTAAAACTGATAGTTAGGTAACTAACCATTAATCAAAATATACAGAATTATATAAATAACTTCAAAGGAATAAAAAAAAATTAGAATAATAGGGAGAGCATGCCATAGACATGATCACATTATCAGATTACAATAAGTAACCAAAGCCTTTTGCATAGACATCAGAGAATACTATCAACTGCACATAAAATATTCTAAAATATGTTATCATACATATAATTATATGCACAATTTTTTTGAAATAAAATGACAGTGGGGTAAGAAGTCCTAAGCTACTGCATTCTTACACATCAACAATTTTTATATCATCCACAGATAATGACCTTTTTGGATGAGTAGCATCTCAGAGTTGCTGCTAACCACACAAATTCAGTTTATTTATTTGATATTCTTTTGCAAGAGTTATTTGATGCAATTGTCTGTACACAGAGCAGCAGGAAGAGAAGCCGGAGATATTTATGCCAGGGAGGAAATAATTTTTGAAGGACAGGAATCGTCCATATGCCATAAAAATTTTCACTTTGGAGAGGACAGAAAAGTGGCTGTTGTATTTTCAGTGAGAAGGACATTGACATATTCAACATGATCAGGCAATGAAATGCTGGATATAGAAGTCATATTTCAGATGGGTGAGACATTGAGGAGAAAACAGGAAGAGCTGACAACATAGAAATTTTCAAGGAATATAGTCAGGATAACAAAGTCATTAGATGAAGCATATGTCATTTTGATTAAGATGAGATAGAGAAACATCTAGGTTACGGGAACTAGTTTGGGAAGGAGAGACCTAACTGTGCCATAGGGTGTCACTTAATCTGAAAAGGAGAAGTAATAAAGGGAGATAGCAGCAGTTTGTACCTATTCACATTAGAGCCACCCTCATTGGTCTTACCAGTTGCTCTATAGGCACCTGCTACTTCATCATCACTTGATTAATACAATCATGTAGCTAGTATTCTCATCTATCTGCCACAGACTCAAAACTCACTTTATCTGGTCTAGTGGACTTCAGGAGAAAGGTGTGTGTATGTTTGGAAATCTACTTCATGTTGCATATTGACTTGAGCGTAGGAGAGGAATAAAATTCTTCAATCCTCAGTGCATTTAATGTCACCAGACTGGAATTATAGAGCAGATTTAGTGACCATTTAGTTTGGACTCCAGCCAAAGCAACTTAGTCCTGAAATAATGTGTTCAAAGGCCACACTCTGAACCTCAAGTTCTCAGTACACAGAAGGAGTAACCAACATTGTAGCTTGGTTAAAATTATCTGCAGCTGTGACTATGGCATTTACTTATGCCACAGTTCAAGAAGGGCATAATGAAATAAGCAATGATTTTCTTACTTACACACCTAGAAGCTATCTATGTAAACATGAGATAAGATGGAATTTTTTTTTTTGCTGCAAATGCAAAAATGGTTAAAAGAATAAATCTATCTTCAGAGATGGATAGAAAATTACTATTTTCAAACATGGTCATTTTAGGTCCTATATTTTCCCCAAGTGTTTTTTAAAATATATTTTTAGTTGTAGATGGACACAAAACCTTTATTTAATTTCTTTATTTTTATGTGGTGTGGAGAATTGAATCTAGTGCCTCACATGTGCTAGGCAAGAGCTCTATCACTGAGCTACAAGCCCAGCCCCTCTTGTATTTTTTGACAAAAAGATTTATTGTCTTGTGACCCTTATATTACAGTGCTCCTACCTAGTTCAGATGACACTTTATGAAGGAATTTGACAGATTAAAATTTTAAAGCATTATAGTAGAGTTTATTTTTTTTTTAAACTATCAAATCTCTCTTTATCCAAGACAATGGGATTTCATCCTTCACCATGTAAACAGTCACAATAAATGCATTTTCTTAACTCTTATTCAGCTGGATATGGCTCTGTGACTGAGCTTTGGCCGACAGTTTTGTGTAGAAGCTTCAGGAAATTATCCTCCAAAGAGCATATAAGTATGCTTTATATCTTGTCTATTTGACCCTTCCTTCACCTTGCTGCCTAAATGGGAATTTCTGCCATTTGGTCATGGACTGTGAATGACAGAATGACCACACAGAAGGACCCTGGGTCT